AGAGTTCAGTTTGGGACACACAAAGTTTAAGATGCCCATTAGAAGTTCAAGAAGAGATGTTGAAGGTAGATCAGAAAGTCAGTGGTGCAGTCAGGACAGGTGATATAATTTTAGGAAACATTAGAATGTAGATGGTCTTTAAAGCCACAGGGACGGGATGAGATCACGTAAAAAGAGAAGAGGGCACTCCAACATTAAATGGCTGGGCAGAGAAGGAGCCAGCATATAAGGAGATATAAGTAAGTGGAAAACTGGGGAAGTGTGCTGCCATAAAAACAAAGGTTTAAAAAAGTTTCAAGAATGAAAAAGAAGTTTCCGATAAAATGAGTTGGATAACCAGCCATTGGAGATGGCTATATGGAAGTCAGTTGGTGACCTGAAAAAGAGCAATTTCAGAGGTGTGGTAAGAACAAAAGCCCACATGAAGAGAGAATGAGAGTAAGGAAATAGTGACAATGAGCAAAAACAAGTCTTTCAAAAGTTTTTCTGTGAAGGGGGAGCAGAAAATGTTGCTAGAAAAGTACATGAGAAATTGAATGAGAAAATGGAAAAGACAAAAGGAAGGTAGGAAGGAAGGGAAGAACATGAGATCAAGGAAGGATTTTTTTTAATGAGTAATATTTAGCATATTTGAATACTATTGGAAATGATCCAGTCAAGAGAGAAAAATTGATACTGCAAGTGAAAGGGGGATGTTTTCAGAAGAGAGAGCCTTGAATAGGTGAGAGGACATAGGCTTCTTATACGTGTAAGTGAGGAGCTGGCCTCAGGCAGGAAACAGAGACACTTCTTTTGTAAGAGAAAAGAAGCAGAATATGTGGATGCATAAGTAGGTGTATTGGAAAGTTGGGTGTTGGGAAGAGGAGATGGCTTTTGTTTAATTGCTACTATCTCTCAGATATGAAGCAAGGTTATTAACTTGAAAATGAGGAGGGAATGGAGGTTTGAAGATAGAGATGAATGTGTAAGTCATCTTTCAGAATAATAACAAATGTCTCAATTATACACATTTGTGAAACTTACTTATGCTTGTCACTTATGTCAGAGCTGTTATTTTTGCATTATCCACAAATTTTTCTTAATATTTAAATATATAATGTTTAAATATTAAATATATGATATTTAAATATATAACTTACAGTGATGCCTAAACTAAATTGTTGGTTGGCAGGTAGCATTGCCATGCCATGGTTTTCAGCTGATACCTGAGTGTTTGAATTCAATACCATTTTGGAGTACTGACAGGATAAAGGGATTTATGAATTCCCTGTTAGTATTGCAACAAAGGTCTAACATATTTTTTTAATTATAAAATTAAGTCGCATATTTACAAATTGAAGAAAAACTATCATCTCAATAGATGAAACAAAGAGCATTTAGTGTGCTTCCCTGGTGGCGCCGTGGTTGAGAGTCTGCCTGCCGATGCAGGGGACACGGGTTCGTGCCCCAGTCCGGGAAGATCCCACATGCCGCCGAGCGGCTGGGCCCGTGAGCCATGGCCGCTGAGCTTGAGCGTCCAAAGCCTGTGGTCCGCAACGGGAGAGGCCACAACAGTGAGAGGCCCGCGTACCGGAAAAAAAAAAAAAAAAAAAGCATTTAGTAAAATTTAACTTCCATACGTTGACTATGATACTTAATGGTGAAACTTAAAAGAAATGAGCAAAGGTCACTACTATTTACCATTTCTATTCCCCATTTACTCAGAGTCCCAGCCGGTACAGTAAAATAAGAGAAGTGATCTACAGACAGATTATTAGAATTCATGAGAGTTTAGCAAGATGCTATATATAAAATTAATATACCAAAAAAAGATTCCATTCTTTTCTACCAGCAAGAAACAGAAAACTTTTAAAAATACATTTAAAAATAAAATCCAATACAATCAGCAAAAAGTAAGTACCTAGGAATAAATCTAACAAAAGATTTGCAAAATTTTATTGAAAAAAAAGTGTGTAGTAGTTTATTAACAAAGATCTAAATAAATGGAGAGATATTTCATGGATAGGAAAACTCAATATCAAAAAAATTTAACCCTCCTTATATATTCAGTACAGTTTCAGTCACAATCTCTACAGGATTTTTTTATATAACTGGATTGATGAAAAGTGGTTTTAAAATGTGTGTGGAAGATCAAAGGTCCAATATCAAGACAGTTTTCAAGAACAGGTTGTTGATGTTGGTGGGGAGTGGTATTTGAAAGGAAGAACTTGCCCTACCTGATATCGTAACTTATTATTGAAGCTAGTCATTTAGTCAGTGTCATTCATTCACAGATAGACAAAAAGACCAATGGAAATAGAATGTAGACTCAGATCTAAGTATATTTTGAAACTTAAAGTTTAATAAATTGATTATGCATTGCAGATTTATAAGGAAAGGATGAAATATTCAGTAAATGGTACTGGTACAATTGGTTATCCAAATGGAAAAAAACAAATCTCTCCTTCACATCAAAGTACAAACACACAAAAGAATGAAATCCCAATTAAAGACCTAATTATAAAAATCAAAATTTTAAATTGGAGAATATTTTATGACCTCATGGAGGAAGGGTAAGCAGTAAGGATCTCTTAAACACTAAAAAAATAAAACAAGAAGAAAATATTGATGAATTTGACTACATTAAAACTTCAAATTTGTGTTAGTGAAAAATTATAGTGGACAAAGTGAGAAAATAAGCTCCAGGCTGGGAAAAGATATTTGTGATATACAGAATGAATGAAATACAAGTATCAGGACATTAAGGACAGCCCAGTAGAATACTGGACAGAAGATGGGAACTAGAGATTCACATATAGATGTTGAATTACTGTATGAATAGATATTCATTCCTCCTTAATAATCAGGGACATGTGGATTGAAATCCCAAATAATACATCATTTTGCTCCCTTGAGACAGACAAATTTTAAGTCTGATAGTACCAAGCATTATGGAAGATTTGGAGTAATTGGAACTATTAAACGTTGCTTTGGGAATATAAATTGGCAAAAGCACTCTGGAGAACAAGTTGGCAAAATCTTGTATACTGAAAGGTGCATATATCCTACAAGCCAGCAATTCAACTCCAGGGTGTATACCCTCGCCCAAAAAACTCTTGAGGTGGGCACATAGTGATATGTACAAGAGTGTTTATTGCAGCATTATCTGTAACAGAAAAAACAAAAAAACTACCAAAAATTCTTCACTAGGAAAATGGTTGAATAAATTGTGGTTTGATAACAAAATGTAATCCTGTAGGAGTGAAAACAAAGTGTAAGTAAAGTAGAGACACTGAATAATTTCAAAAACAAAATGTTGTGTTCAAAAAATTTCAAAAGAATATATAAAGTGTGACACAGCTTATTGAAAGTTTGAAAAGATGCAAAATAACCATATAATATTTGGGAATATATACAAATGGAGTGAAAGTATAAAGAAATGCATGTGAATGATAAACAAATTGAGGACGATTGTTGCACCTGAGTGAGGGGGGAAGGTGATGTGTCTGCTAACATAAGTGTATATATGGGACTTCAGTTGTATGTATGTGTGTGTGTGTGTAGCTTCTGTTTCTTAAAGTGGGTGGTAGGTACATGGGTGCTCATTATACCTTTTAATATCTTCTATATATATTTATATTTATATATATTTAAATATTACATAATGCACTTTAAAAAGACAACAGAAATTAGTGAGAACTGACATTTATTGAGCTCTTCAGTATAAGTCTATTCCTTTCTAAGCTTTGAATGCATTATCTCATTCAATCTTAGTAACCCTTTGAAGAAGTATTAATATATCCCTGCTATGTAACAGGAAACTGAGGACTTTAGAAGTCAAATAGTCTACTTATGGTCATATAGCCGTTCGGTGACAGAGCCAGAACATGAAAGTACAGCTGTCTGACTTAAATGCTCATATCGTTAACCTCTATGAATGTTAATCAGCCTCTCTTAAAAAGTCCACGTTAACTACAAAGAAGTCTCATGTTAGTGCAACTATCATTTCAACCTCTGGATGCAGCTAGAACTACAGCAGTAGAACTTAACCACTTTGGCCTCTAAATTCAGCAGAGCAGACTTTCTGAAGCTAGAAGAACATTTGCTCAGGAGCACAGGGCATGACTCATTTCCTTAGGTATCTGTTTATTCGTTCAACAAATATTTATCAAGAGCCTCTGCAGCACAGTGGTAAACCACAATTTATTTCTTGTCTGCATCATTTTTGCAGTTTGCCAAGCTTTGGGACGCAAATTTGAAATTTCCATTTTCATTTCCAACTAATGCAAGGAATGCTATGATTAATTATTAGCTATTTTAGAACTTGCAGTCTGGCTTACTATGGATCTCATTTAAGCCTAACCATTGTTGACCTGCAAATTCACATGACATTTAAAATATTTTTGCCACTTCTTACTTTAATAAAGTGTTTATTGAAAACTTTTAGTCTACTTTTGTTTAAATAAAATACAGGTTGAAGTGAAAATATTGTTTTAAACAGTTTGATATGACTGTCTCTTTTCTCTCCATGTATTTCCCCTCTCTCCTTTTTTTTTCCACAGATCAAATAATATTTGCTTAATCTTACACTTCATTGAGATTTTAAGATTCTCCTTGACAGTATGTTAGATATATGTTATAGTATTATACATTCAACAAGATGTTGAACCCATACTAGCTCATAGAACTGCTGAAATGGATGCATTTGGGTTAACTTTAATTACATTATCGTTAATTAAATGGGTGTACTAAAACCAAGTCGTTTTCCCTCTGTAGTTAAGAACAGTTTAATTTGGTCTATCTTGGCCAGTTTGTTTATGTGAACTTTACTCACTAGTAACAGCTGGGCTTCTAAATCATCATGACCTCTTTTAAAATAATTATACAAACATAATATTGTTAAGAAGTAACCCTTGTTTTTACTTAGTGTTCGATTCAGTGATTATGTGATATAAGTATTTAAACATTCTTTCTAGTCCTATCTTTAACAATGTATTTCCTTTTTCATACTCGATATTCAGGGACCTGAAGGAACAGTGGGACTGCCAGGACAAAGAGGTCGTCCAGGGAAGAAGGTAATTTTTTTTCACGTCTTTTCATGCTGGTTTTCTTTCTTCTGACGTGCCCAGAGCTCCATAGCATACTGTGGTGTTTTTATTTGCACTGGAGATAAAACAATAAAGAACGATAAATTTGGCTTAAAAGGCACATTTGTATAAATTAATATTTAATTCCACTTAGGAGTACTTATTACCTTATTACTTATTATCTGAAGTCAAATTTTCTACTTTGTAGTTTCTGAAAAGATCTTTGCCTTTTCTTCTCCTGTTTACCTTAGTAGACCATGGACAGGAAAAGAGAGAAAAGAAAAATACTATATACCATTTGTGCTATTTAGTAACAACATTAGTAAAATATTTAGGGGAGAGAAATATTAGAATTGTTTTTAGGTTTGTTTTAATTGTACTTTTCCAAATTGAAAAGGTTAATGATTGATTTTATCTTTCCTATACATTAACTAAGAAACACAAAACAATATGTTTTGTTTGCTTCCTTTATATTTTAGTAAGAAAACGTGATGCCTTTGTAGAATTTAGCACAATATAATGAATAATTCATCCTTGGATAGAGTCAATAATTTGTTCAAGTATTGGTGAGACATAAAAATGATTTTCACATTGTACTACAACAGTTTTGAATATATTTACTATAATTAACTACAAATTACACCATATTCTAGTTCCCAAAATCGGATCTGTCATTTCTGTGAATATGCACCTTGTCCATCTTTTTCATAATTTGGGGGCAGTATAAGATAATAAAAGATAAAAGTGAATGAGGTAAATTTTAGTTGCCATTCTTACCCATGAAAATAAGCCCAATACTGAAGTGTCTTTTCATCAAACATAATATTATGTCTAAATGATTTTACAAGTAGGACAGTGCAGGTCCTTACAACAGCCTGTGTCTTTGGGAGAGCCTGTGAATTATTATGAATGACCAAAAATTTCCTGACTGTGATCACTGTTTAATTTTTCTTTGTATCTACATGATTATCAATAATAGAACAGGTTGGTTCCAACATGCAGAAAATGAATTATAACATTTAATGTTTAAAAGCTGCTGTACTTTGGTATTAGACAATGATTAGTTAGCCTATTGGAAAACAGAAGGTAACTAGGTTTCAGAAGGATGTAAAATCATACAAAAACGTTACAGATTTTTAAACACAAACTCCAACCAAGTAAGTGATGATACTGAGTATACAGAACTGCACACTAGAGCCTTTTTGCATTAGACAGATCTTTGGGGCATTGAAATTCTCTGTAGAAACAGGTTTCTCATAGGGCCTGTGTTTTCTCATGTCAGGAATAAATACATGCATGCATGCATTCGTACATAAATGCATAACAAATTTCAAAATAATAAACTTGGTTTATTTGTAACTCAACATGAGCACCATATCTTCCCTGCTTGTTTGGCCAAAATTTTTGATATTCTTTTTTCCAAAATTACTTTTAATTATATCTTTAAGGTAAGCTAGGTAGCGATGGTATGTTATTATTGTCAGTGGTGGTCTGTAGTACTATTAAGTTAAAGCAAAGTTACTATTTATAGAATTTTGCTTACAGAATATCCTCTGGAGCCATTCAGGTATATGATATAGTTAATTAATCTGAGTATAAGTTTGTTTTTTTCTTACTTTTCTCTCTTACTAATGGCATCCACAGGGCGATAAAGGACAAATGGGGCCCACAGGAGAAATTGGAAGCAGAGGTGCTCCTGGACAAATTGGGGAAAGTGGTCCTAAAGGTGCCAGAGGAACTAGAGGTGCTGTGGTCAGTATTTGATTTGTCTCCAGAACTGAGTTCACTGTGGATGGAAAAGAAATGTATCCATGTCCTAAAGGCTCTGTCCCTTGATTAATTTTACAGAGAAAGCAATAGTTCCATTGAAAATAATCTACCTCCATGGGATGTGGAGAATTGTAAGCATTCCACAGTACTTAAATGGCTTAGTGGTTTCTGGACATGAAAGAGGAAAGGGGGAAAAGAATCTCAAAATGGAAATAAAATATGAAATAAGGTTTTAAAAAATCAGATTATAACTCCTAAGTAGGAAGGTATATATGCCTTGTACTTGAAATCAGGATTTAATATCTGTATAAAATTATGCTGCCATGGTTGACAAATTGCTTTGAAAATTACTTGAAAATGGGTTTTCTTTATATGCTTGGACTCCACATGCTTATCTGGAGATTATTTTTCTAACCAGCTGTGATAAGTCTCCAAAACATCTACTAATTTTTAATCTTTTGTATGAATTTTACATGATGTTGGAAACAAGGTAGCATGATGCTTTTGAACCTGTAATAGCAAAATTATATTGCTAATATATTTGGACCTGTTCAGAAAGTCACAGCAGAAGAGTTGCAAAATATTTAAGAGATTATCCAATTTAGTCTTTTGACTATTTCATAAACTTATTTACAAAATGCGTATGTATTCACTATCTCCGTTTGAATGTCACAAGTGACTTTTCACCAAGGCCTTCTGGAGAGCATTGCATAATCCATCTGTTGTCTGAGGAACATTTCCCTCAAGCTCATTTTAAGTGTTCCATTCCTTACTGCCATCTTACTATTTCAGGTCATTCTTACTTTCTTTTATTTTAATTACTAATATTTTCCTATCTTTGGCTTATGCACTCAAAAACATTATATAATGTGATTGATTTTTAAATATTTTTCCAGTTTTATTGAGATATAATTGACATATAGCATGTATAAGTTTAAAGTGTACGGCAAAATGCTTTGATTTACATATATCATGAAATGATTATCACAATACGTTTAGTGAATATCCATCATCTCATACAGATATAAAATTAAATAGAAAAAATACATATTTTTCTTTGTGATGAGAACTCTTGGGATTTACTCTCTTAAGTTTCATATATAACATGTAGTAGTGATAATTATGTTTATCATGTTGTACATATATCCTGAGTACTTATTTATCTTAGAACTAGAAGTTTGTCCCTTTTGACTGTCTTCATCCCATTTCCCATCCCCTACCCTCCAGCTCTGTTAACCACAAATCTGATCTCTTTTTCTATGAGTTGGGTTTTTTTTTTGAAGTATAATTGACTTACAACACTAGAGTAGTTCCTTTTACACAACATAGTGTTCAATATTTCTATACATTTCAAAACAGTCACCACAATAAGTCTAGTTATGTCTAGTTACAATATTGCACATACAAAAATATCACATATTTATTGACTGTATTCTCCACACTGTACATTTCATAACTGTGACTCATTTATCTTGCAACTGGAAAATAGTCTCCCTTACCTATGTCTTTCCTCCTGCCATCACCCTGCCTTCTGGCAACCACCTACTTGTTCTCTGTATCTATAACTCTGTTTTTGTTTTCTGTTTGTCATTTGTTTTGTTTTTTAGATTCTACATATAAGTTATATCACACTGTATTTGTTTGATTTATTTCACTTAGCATAATTACCTCTAGGTCCATCCATGTTGTCACAAATATCACGATTTCATTCTTTTTATGGCTGAGTAATATGCCATAGTATATTTTTACCATATCTTCTTTATCCATTCATCTATTGATGGGCACTTAGGTTGCTTCCATATCTTGGCTATTGTAAACAATGCTGCAATGAACATAGAGGTGCTTATATCTTTTCTAATTAGTGTTTTCATTTTCTTTGGATAAATACTTGGGAGTAGAATTGCTGGATTATATGGTAGTTCTATTTTTAATTTTAATTTTTTGAGGAGCCTCCATACTGTTTTCCATAGTGGCTGCACCAATTTATATTCCTACCAACAGTGCACAAGGGTTCCCTTTTCTCCACATCCTCACCAACACGTGTTATTTGTTGTCTTTTTGATAATAGCCATTCTGACAGGTGTGAGGTGATATGTCATTGTGATTTTGATTTTGATTTGCATTTCCCTGATGACTAGTGATGTTGAGCATCTTTTCATGTGTCTGTAGGCTATCTGTATGTCTTCTTTGGAAAAATGTCTGTTTAGATCCTCTGCCCATTTTTAAATTGGGTTGTTTGTTTTTTTGATGTTGAGTTGTATGAGTTCTTTGTATATTTTGGATATTAACCCCCTATCAGATTTATTGTTTGCTACTTCTCCCATTCAGTAGGTGGCCTTTTTGTTTTATTGATAGTTTCCTTGGCTGCACAAAAGCTTTTTTGTTTGATATTGTCTATTTGTTTATTTTTGCTTTTGTTTATTTTGCCTGAGGATACATATCCAAAAAAAATATTACTAAGACCAGTGTTAAAGAACACACTGCATATGTTTTCTTCTAGAAGTCTATGGCTTCAGGTCTTACATTTACATTTACATTTCAGGTCTTCAGGTCTTTAATGAATGTATTTTTGTGCATGGTGTGAGAGTAGTCCAGTTTGATTCTTTTGTATGTAGCTGTCCAGTTTTCTCAGCACCATTTATTGAAGAGGCTGTCTTTTCCCATTGTGTATTCTTGAGGCCTTGGTCATAGATTGATTGCCCATAGAAGTATGGGTTCATTTCTGGACTCTCTATTTTGTTCCATTGATCTATGTGTCTGTTTTTGTGCCTGTACCATACTGTTTTGATTACTGTAGCTTTGTATAGTATTGTTTGAAATCAGGGAGTGTGATACCTCCAGCCTTGTTTTTCTTTCTCAAGCAATCTTGAAACTGATTGAAAATCTTGGGAAAAAAAAATCAGTTTTGGCTATTTGGGGTCTTTTGTGTTTCCATACAAATTTTTAAATTATGTGTTCTAGTTCTGTGAAGAATGCCACTGGTATTTTGATAGATATTGCATCAAATCTGTAGACTGCCTTGGGTAGTATGATCATTTTAACAATATTAATTCTTCCAGTCCATGAACACAGTATATCTTCCCATCTGTTTGTGTTGTTTTCAGTTTCTTTTCTTCAGTGTCTTATAGTTTTCTGAGTACAGGTCTTTTACCTCGTTAGTTAGATTTATAATAAAAGTGGTGAGAGTGGGCATCCTTGTCTTGTTCCTGATCTTGGAGGAAATACTTTCAGCTTTTCACCATTGAGTATGATGTTAGCTGTGGGCTTGTAATATGTGGGCTTTATTATGTTGAGATAATGTAATTAACTTTTAATAAACTTGAGAATGAATTGATCCAAAGAGTACTGTCTTCAAAGTAGGCTCCTACTTTGGATTTTCTCTAAAAGGAATAGTCACTTTTTAAATTTTGACACGTTTCCAAACTACCTTCCCAAGAGGTTTCACCAAATTTACATGCCCACCACCAGGAATACTTCATATTAATCCTTTTGATGTTTGCCAATCTGATAAATGAAAAAGTGTATCTCATTTTCTTTCTTACAATTTTCCTGATTGCAACTAAGTAATTTGTATTTTTTTCTCTAGAAATTACCTGTTCATATGCACTTTACATGTTTTTCTATTAGGTTGTTGTCTTTTTCTTAATTTCAGTAATACCTTACATAATTTAGATAATATACTTTTGTTAAAGTGTTGCTAATATATTACAAATATATTTCCCTTTCTGTCATTTATCTTTTAATATTGTTTATAGTATCTTTCACTGGACAGAGGTTTTAATTATTACAGTCAAATTTGTCAGTCTTTTTGTTTACATTCTAGGTTTTATTTGTTCATTAGAAATGACTTCCCTACATAAAGTGCATAAAAATATTCTTCCATATCCTTCTTCTAATATTTTTATAGCTTTATTTTTACCCTTAACCCTTTTAAAGCATACAGAGTTTTTGTTTTGTTTTGTTTGCTATGATATAAGTTGTAACGGACTAATTTTTCTTTTTCCCAAATTCTTAGCCAGTTGTCGCAATACTATTTATTTATTTAAATTTATTTATCTATTTATTTATGGCTGCTTTGGGCCTTCGTTGCTGTGCGCAGCTTTTTCTAGTTGTGGTGAGCGGAGGCTACTCTTTGTTGTGGTGCGTGGACTTCTCATTGTGGTGGCTTCTCTTGCTGCAGAGCATGGGCTCTAGGTGTGCGGGCTTCAGTAGTTGTGGCACACAGGCTCAGTAGTTGTGGCACACAGGCTTAGTTGTTCCACAGCCTGTGGGATCTTCCCAGACCAGGGCTGGAACCCATGTCCCCTGCATTGGCAGGTGGATTCTTAACCACTGTGCCACCAGGGAAGCCCCAATACTATTTTATGAACAATCTATTTCCCACTTTTCTGAAATGCTACCCTTACTGTAAGCTACTCTTAAATAATGGTCTGTTTTCACTTCTTTTCTCGATTTTTTAGTGTGTTCCTAGGTCAGTACCACACCATTTAAATAACTGTATCATTACAGTATCATTTGAGATCTATTAGGGCAAATACTTCATGATTTATATTTCTGAAAAGTTTGGCTGTTACTATGATCTTTTTCTTCTTTCATGTGAACTTCAGAATCAACTTAGCAAGTTCCTTTAATATTGAATCATTCACTGTAGAAACACCATATGTCTTTTTATTTACTTATATCTTGTATATCCTTCAATAAAGTTTTGTTATTTCCTTTATCTCTGTTCTTAACATCTATCTTATTAGGTTCATTGTTAGCTTCTTATAGATTTTGTTGTTTTTAAGGTAATCCTTTTTCTATTACATCTTCTAATTATGCTGTGTAAAATACCTTTTTTTAAAACTTTATATTCATTTGAATGAATTTTGATGATTCTCAGGGTTCTTTAGGTAAATAATCGTATCATCTCCTCATATTTATTATCCTTATTACATTGATTAGAACTTCTGGTTAGTGTGGTATTTGGCTAGTCACATACTTATTCTGTGCCTTAACTTCCTTATCTCCTATTTATTTGGGGACTCAAATAGGAGAGTTGATAGGGAAACTTTGATAATATTAAAGATAGGACATTTTTAAGAGTGTTATTCTTGCTTTTTTCAGTTGTCTGAGTTATCTTTTCAGTAGTTTAGGAACATTTACAGATTTGCCTTTAACTTACATGTTTCCTCATCTGTGTGATATTGATAATAAGAGTAATTAATAGGGTAAATATTATACATAAGTTTTCAACCAATTCTATTTTAACAACTTTGACCAGAGCTGAAACTGTGTTCATCAAAGCATCTGAAACTAGCAGTGAGTACAGTGTTCTTGATCCTATCATAACAATACTAAAAACTATCAGAATTCACTCTCTAGTATTTAGCGATGCATGTGTACCACAAACTTTAACAGATACAAACTATATTTCCAAGAATTTGCTGGAAGCCTACAGCATTCTGGCAACTGAAAGTATTTATCTTAATATGATTAAGGATGTTCATACCAGAAGTAAACCAAAGAAACGTATTTTTGTGGAACTTACGTGGTTCAGAAGTAAAATAAGATGAAAGTTGGAGAATTATGTTTTGTTTTCCCATTTCAGACTAGGTAAAATATCATACCTTAAAAATCTAAATTTTAAATAATAGGAATACAAGGTTAATGATTTAAACAATTGTCTGTTTTCTTTCTAACGTTTAATTTGTTTTTAGGGACAGTTAGGATTGATGGGACCTTCTGGAGAACCAGGAATTCCAGGATATAGGGTAAGCATTTCTAATTGGAAATAAGAAGTGTATATTTTTATAAAAACATTCCATGAAGATGTCATCCCAAATATACAAACTCAGATGAAATTTCCTGATAAACCTTTCTAACATATTTAGGTCTCATGCCCCTGTAGAGTGAATCCTGTTCTTCTTTCAGAATAGTGCAGTATCTAATAGTGTGGCCATGACGGTATTAGGTAGAGCACATACAAATGATATGGAGACTGTCTACTTACTTGTCCTTCTGTTAGGGCCATGAAGGTCAACCAGGACTTTCTGGGTTGCCAGGACCTAAAGGAGAAAAGGTGTGTATGAATATATTGACTTCTTTATCATAAAATTAAATATTGAATTCATGTGTTCTTTCTGAAAGTATGTATGGAAACATTTTCAAAGAATAAAAAAAGCACTTTAAACTTGGGAAGTATTATAAATTCTAGAAGAAAAATAAATATCAAGGGGCAAAAACTTAAACAAATTATTAAAAAATCTTTGATAGGTTGTTTCAAGATTGAGGTGAAATGATATATGTTATAGTACTTTGCAATCTGTAAAAGTTTGTAAAACTAATATTAATTACTGAAAGTGATTGTGAGACTATAGATTAAATGACTAACTATATACATTTATAGTAAAATTTTTTATGAATTAAGAATAACTGCAGCAGTACTCTTCTTGGTTTGTAGTATCATTGGAAAACAGACACTTTGAGAAAATTAGTAAAGTGCTTTTTACGTAATTAAAGCAGAATGACACTTCCAAAGAGAACCATGTATGAATTACAACCGTGTATAAATTATCATGTGCTAAGTTTTGTAGATAAAAGTTTTTCATTTAAAAAAGATAAAACCAGATTGCATATTTTATAACATATTAGGAAATAATAGGCTTCGTATTTCAAAGTTTATTTTATTAATTTAGTTTTGTTTATAAATCATCTTCATCATAGGGTTATCCAGGAGAAGATAACACAGTCCTAGGACCACCTGGGCCTCGAGGTGAACCAGTAGGTTTTTCCTAAAATTATTTTGATGTTTTAAGATAAAACACAGTTACTACAATAGATTCACAACACCAATTACATCTTTTCAAGGAGTTTTATTTAGTTACTTTTATAACATGGTTTTATACAAGAGCACTATTTGCAGTAATCTGCAACTTTATAATCTAAATATATAATCAATTTTATTATCTAAATATAAAAACTGTTTATATTCAGGTCAAGATCCTTAGCATAGTATAGAAATTTAAAACAGTAACTTTCCAAATCTAATTTGCGGCATTAAATGCATGATAACAACTTTTTTACAGAGATTATCAAAAAATCACATACTCTAGACATTTAGGGCAGATACTTCTTTATACATCAAATTCAGATTTATTTCTAACGGATTTTTAAAAATCTGATCTGTATCCTTTCCTATAGTAGTTTATACACAGTTACCAAATGATTTCAAAACTCATCTAACCGGTTATTAGAGCCACTGTTCTTTAAAGATTATCAGTCTATAGTCTTCTAATAAACATTGTAAAGACTAGCTGTAACCATGATTTTTTTAAAGTAGCTATTTTATCTTTGATTATCTGAATAACTGTCTCTCTGTTCATGTTTGATTAAAACAATCTTAAAGGCTATATGTAAATTAAATGGGTAAAACAAAAATGCCTAGTTCACAGAAATAATTGGTTAAATTTTCCATATTTCACATGATATAATATAGGATAAAAGAATCCTAAAACAGAAGAATCAAAATATATAGTCGCTCCTGATATTTTGATCTGACTCTTTGGAGATGGTTGAAAGGTATACTTTGTTTTAGAAACAGGAAAGATTCTAGAGTTTTTCTCATAAAATCAAGCCAACTCATATAGAGGCAAACTCATCTAATAAGAATATATAAAATTCTTTATCAGAAACGATCAACAAAATGAAAAGACACCTTCTGAATAAAGAAAATACTTGCAAATAATATAACCAATAAGGGGCTAATATCCAAAATATATAAGCATTTCATACAACTCAACAGCAAAAAAACAAACAACCCAATTAAAAAATGAGCAGAAGACCTGAATAGACATTTTTCCAAAGAAGACATACAGATGGCCAACAGGCACATGAAATGTTGCTCAACATCACTAATCATCAGGGAAATGCAAATCAAAACCACAATGAGATATCACCTCACACCTGTCAGAATGGCTATCATCAAAAAGACCACAAATTACAAATGATGGTGAGGATGTGGAGAAAAGGGAACCTTGTGCACTGTTGGTGGGAATGTAAATTGGTGCAGCCACTGTGCAAACAGTATGGAGGTTTCTCAAAAAACTAAAAATAGCACTACCATATGAGCCAGCAATTCCATTCCTGGGTATATATCCAGAAAAAAAATAGAAACTCTAATCAGAAAAGATATGTGCACCCCAATGTCCATAGCAGCAATGTTTACAATTACCAAGATAATGAAAGCAACCTAAGTGTCCATCAACAGATGAACTGACAAAGAAGATGTAGCATGTGTGTGTGTGTATATATATAGTGTATGTGTGTATATATGTAGTATGTGGAGATTATTGTGCTAAGTGAAATAAATCAGACAGAGAAAGACAAATGCTGTATGACATCACTTATATGTGGAATCTAAAAATGAAACAAAATAGTGAATAGAATACAACAAAAAAGAAGCAGACTCACAGATATAAAGAGCAAACTAGGGGTTACCGGTGGGGAGGGAGGAGTGGGGAGAGGCAAGATAGGTTTAGGGGATTAAAAGGTACAAACTACCATGTATAAAATAAATAAGCTACAAGGATATATTGTATGACACAGGGAATATAGCCAACATTTTATAATTACTATAAATGGAATATAACCTTTAAAAATTGTGACTCACTATGTTGTACACCTGAAACTTACATAATATTGTATATCAAGTATACCTCAGTTGAAGAAAAAGAATTCCAAGTTACCCCAAAACTTATGTAAATTTAGGAAATAAATCATTAAGAGATGGAATGATACTTTTTAAATTCTTTATCAAATGTATTCTAGTCTCTCTAAACCTCTGAGAGACAAAAATATGGAAATTGTGCAGAAATGTACAATGGAATATTAACTCAGCCATAAAACAGAATGAAATAATGCCATTTGCAGCAACATGAATGGACCTAGAGATTGTCATACTGAGTGAAGTAATTCAGATAAAGACAAATATATGATATCACTTATATGTGGAATCTAAAAAAAAATGATACAAATGAACTTATTTACAAAACAGAAATAGAGTCACAGATGTAGAAAAACAAACTTATGATTACCAGGGGGGAAAGCAGGGGGAGGGGGGCAGATAAATTGGGAGACTGAGATTGACATGTACACACCACTGTATATAAAACAGATATAACTAATAAGGACTGTACAGCACAGGGAACTTTTCGCAATACTCTGTAATGACCTATATGAGAAATAATCTAAAAAAGAGTGGATATATGTATATGTATAACTGAGTCACTTTGCTGTACAGCAGAAATTAACACAACATTGTAAATCAACTATACTCCAGTAAAAAAATTTTTTTTTTAAGTAAATGGTAAAATGTGGGCAAGTGAAGCATAGTAGTGCTTGTTTTCCCCAGATTCCGGTATTCCAGGGTCAAAGAATGTCACTGAAATATAATAAATGTATTAAAAGTCTAGTATAACAATGGTCATTTTATCTAGTAGGTGTGAAAATTAATCCAAGAATATTCTAAATAATTAAAGCAGAGTCAGAGATTATTGTCTTTACATTATGTCTAATATCTTTATCCACACAGGAGTAAGTTAAAATTTATCCATTAACGGTCCATAATAAATTTTAGGGTTTTGCTAATAATTTCAATTTAAGTTTCTTTTCAAACAGTAGGTCCTAATATGTGATAATTGATTTTTCAAGCGCATTTTAGAGTAGATAATTTGAACATCTTATCGTATCAAAGATTTTATATTAGGAATGTTTAGAAAAAGTTAAAAGTAGAAGTTTATTAGTTTCTGCCTTAAGGATTAAAATGAATAAATGTAATTTCTTTTAGGTTAATTTATATCTTAATAATTAGAATTTCACAGAGTAAAGAATAAATAATATAATTTCTAATGAAGAATGGTAAAGTAAGATTAGCTATTAGATACTTTTTAAAAGATGATCAAAGATAATATTTTCTAATTAATGGAATTAATTAAGTGACTGGTCCTGCTGAAATTTTTTTCAATCATTTTAACATTAAGTAAAAATGCAAGTTATTTTGATATCTTATATAACATACTTTACTCATCTGAAAATTCACATTGTTTGGACTTCATTTTTTCAATATTTTTTCTAGCAGAATCATTATGAGATTCTCTTTAAATAATTCAGTGCTTGTGAAGTTCTTGGTGTCACTAAAATCCAATCCTTTGAAATTATTTAGTGGAACTAAACAAACTGTTGTACATTTGGCTTCATATTTTTAGGGAAAAAATATTCCACATTAACTGTATCATCTGCATTCACAAATACTTAGACCCATTGATTGTTTTTGCCTGTGGTCTCTGTAGGGCCCAATGGGGGAACAAGGAGAGAGAGGAGAGCCTGGAGCAGAGGGATATAAGGTAATTACTGTAAATTTCACACCTTGCTTCTAAATTTGAATAGGGCTCTCTGTGGTTCTGCTCAGTTGCAAATGAAAATAAGCATCATTGAGATAATTAGTAATGTCTTATGTTTTGGATCCCAGAAGAAGCTCTTTGTATTTTCTGTTCCTTCTTTCTAAAATTACCATCATCTCCTTCCACTGCTGCTTCTTCTCATCATTCAGCTCTCAACCGAAATGTTACTTTCTGAGAGGCCTTCTCTAACTGTCCTTTCTGTCTGTCACTTTATATCTCATTACTCTATTTACCTTATGACATTTAATGCTATCTTACCACCTTTTTATACACTTGGGGTTTTTTTATCATCCGTATTCCCCCAACAAAATATAAGATCCATGAGAATAAGACTCTTGTCTTTTTCATCATTATATCCCCAGTTTCTAGAACACAGAGTTCCTAGTATATAATAGAAATTCATTAAAAGAGTTGTCAAATGGATGGATAAATGCCATTATATTCTTATGTCAATTCTTATCCTCTTCGATTCTTAGAAGGATTTTAAGAGACCAGCTTTATCAGCTCAAATTATATTAGGCTATGTATAGAATTTATTCAGTGTCATTATTTATTAGCATATTTGTGTTGAGCGTGTTCTGTATTCCTGCCCTATATCTCGTCCCTTTCTGTTTATAACGTCATATGCTAAACAAAATGGTCATTTGCTAACTCTCTCCCTATAGTTCTTGTCTTATTCCTTCGCTCACAACATTCTCTGCCTGCTCAAAAAATTATGTAATCTTTACTTACATAAATCCTGTCTGTCCTTTATAATCTAATTCATACTCCCTTTTCCCCTGTCTACACCAACAGCAATCTTTCCCTCTTCTGTAGTCCTATAGTATTTATTGTTGATGGAAGTCGTTCGGTACAAATATTTTACAATCTTCTGCTACTATAGTTTTTGCTAATTATTTTTAATGTGAAAATATCTTAGGTTCTCAATTTGAATATGACTTTTTAAAAATTAATTAATTAATTTACTTTATTTTTGGCTGCATTGGGTCTTCGTTGCTGTGCGCGGGCTTTCTCTAGTTGCAGCGAGCAGGGGCTACTCTTCATTGCGGTGCACGGGCTTCTCATTGCCATGGCTTCTCTTGTTGCAGAGCAGGGGCTCTAGGCGCTCAGGCTCAGTAGTTGTGGCTCCCGGGCTCTACAGTGCAGGCTCAGTAGTTGTGGCACACGGGCTTAGTTGCTCCACAGCATGTGGGATCTTCCCGAACCAGGGCTCGAACCCGTGTCCCCTGCATTGGCAGGCAGATTCTAAACCACTGTGCCACCAGGCAAGTCCTGAATATGACTTCTTTCCTTCTTGTACAGTGTCTTGTTTTGAGCCCTGTACATAATAGTATATAATATGTATGTAAACATAATTCATTTTTAACAATGAATTGATGGGTTATTTGATCCAACATATACCTTTCTATGTAAAATTTCTGTGATCATGTCTGCAATGAAGACTTAGGTTGCCAGATTGAAGGGACAAGCTGGTAGGTAGATAATTATCATTAATACACTGATTTATCTCAGGCCTGAAATCTGAAAAATCAACTTTCACTTCCCAAAACTCTCTTTGAAACAAATGTTGAAGGTGGTTCTAAATGTCTGTGAAATTCTGGGTGTGGCCATCTTATATTTTTTTCTATTTTCAGAGGAACATTTTTTAGAAGATTTTATATGTTCTGTCTCCAATTTACATAACATTTGTATCTACAATGTTTCCTAATGCAAGGAATCCAAATAGATTTACTTGAAATTAGCTTTTCTTGGGGTTGAGAAACCAACCCACTGCTTCCAGCATAATTTGAGAAGTTTCTTAAACTTCTTTAACTTTTTCTGTGCATAACTTCTCCACACAGTCTCAGGAAAATCAGGTTCTAATAATATCTTCTTTTGGCCTCTACCAACTACAGTCAGTAGCTACATCAGCGAATCTATTGGCAAACAAACAATTAACTATTCTATTGGGAGAAGAAAAGAATCTCTTCACCTGGCTAGGAAAAGAAAAATCCCGCCCCCATTTTTCTAGATAGTCATACATTCTTCAGAAATCCTTCATCAGAGGAAAGCTTTTCCCTAGGCTCGTTATGGAATCTGTTTTTCCTTCTTCATTCCATAAATAGTCCTGATTAAGTCTTCAATTGTGGATGTTTCATGAGCTAGTGTGAGCCACATTTTCCATTCTGTCTTATTCCATCCTATTCCTTAGGCTTTAGGAGTCATTTTATCATTTGTTGATAGATCTATTTTAAAAAGCCATTTAGTGCCAGACAATCACAGTAACTTTATTGCTTAGACATCTCAAAGTCACAAAATACCTACACTTGTCCCCTTCCATGTTTTTCCAAGCACAAGTTTGATTCATACAGGGGAACCATGCTTTATTTAGAGTTAGATTATACTGTTGTAGCTTTAGGTGATATTGCTAAATGTTTGCTTTTCTATATGGGCATTGTAGACACTATCATTTCACTCTAGTAAACTGATGGTCAGAATTATTGTCAATCTTTTTTTAATTGTGCTAAAATGCACATAACATAAAATTTACCATTTTAACCATTTTAAATTGTACAATTCAGAGACACTTAGTGTTGTATATTGGCAATATTGTACAACCATCACACACTGCCTAATTCCAGAACATTTTCATCACCCTGAAGAGGAAGCCCCATGCCCATTAAAGTTACTTTCCTTCTCCCAACCTCTGACAACCACTACTCTTCTTTCTATCTCTATTGATTTACCTATTCTGTATATTTCATATAAATAGAATCATACAATGTATAACCTTTTGTGTCTGGCTTCTTTCACTTTACGTAATGTTTTGAAGGTTCATCTGTGTTGTAGAATGTATCAATTCTTCATTCCTTTTTATGGTTGAATAATCACCAAGCTTTTAAAAACACTTCTCTGTTCACAAATATTCTTACCGTTGTGGTGAAACTCTTGTGGTGAATGATTACCCTCTTGGAGAAAAAAAAAATGGAATGGGTAATGAAAATTTTGTTCCCATTTGGCTACGAACAATTGAAAGACATTTTGTAATCCTTCCCACCATCCTTTGTTCTTTTTTCCTCTTGAAGAAAGTGAAAATCACAAAAGTCAAGTGTCTTGCTCATTATCATCAGTAAATCATTATTAGGCATCATTGTATATGACACATTTTATGTGTTACATATAATTAAATCTCTGGTCCCTTCAGCATATATTTTAGTATCTGCTATGGATTGGGAGCTATGAATGTAACATGGGGCACCCAAGACACAGTCCCTGACTCCATGGACATCACATACACAAGATAAGAATATTTAATCAGTATAAAAGCAGATATAGTGAAATCGCTGTCATCCAGAAAACTATACATCACATAGGTCAAGATAAATTCACTTGAGGCTTGAGAGAGGGTCAGAGGACATGGTATGAATAAGAATACTATAATGTCAACATTCACTTTTTAAAGATATGAGCAGAAACACACAGATTAAGTCAGGCTAAACTAATGTGAGCCAACCCTAGAAATACACTGAATAAATTAGGTACTGAGCTAAAGCCCTAGAAATACACTGAATAAGTTATGTACTGTCTTAAACTCCTTTTTACTTTGGTTTGGCAAAGGCCATAGAATTTTTTGCATACGATAAAATAACAACTAAATCCTCACTTGGCCTTCATTCCTTAGCATCAGACATACATATCCAAATAGCTATTGGACATCAGCACAGAAAACACAGCATGTCCCAAACCATAGTATCATCATCCTGTCCAAATCTGATCCTCCTCTTTTTGTCCTTGGTTCAGTGAATAGTACCACCAGACATCCAGATGTCTAGTAAATGAATCTTCCCTCTTTCTATCTCCCTCTGTCTCTCTTGCTTTCTCTTTCCTCCCTCCTCTCCCTCCTCTTTCTCTCCTTTCTCTATCCTCTCATTTCTCAACTTCAATTGGCCACTTCATTTGACCTCTTAAATACCTCTGGAGTCTATCCACTTTGCCCTACTTTAGTTTAGGCTTTCATCATTTTTTGCCTGAATTATTTTAGTAGCTTACTAACTAGACTCCCTATCCCCAGTCATAGCCCTCTCAAATCCATTCTCCACTTACCATGTTGTGTTAGATCAACCTCCATTTATTCTCCTATGCTGTTTCCTCTGCAGAACGCCTTCCTTTTACTTTACTGCCTGGAACACTCATCCTTTAAAATTCAGCTTATTATCACTTCCCATATAAAATCCTCTCCAGCTCCCCTTGGCCATCCAACTCATCTCACCACTAATATCATGAGGAAAAATCAGTCACTTCCTGTAATCTTGCCCACGTAGCTTTATAATAATATTACAAAAGACCTAATATTTATAATTTTTACCACTGCAGAAAAACAGTCTGTCAATTTTTATTGGGGTGGAAAGGACCAAAGGAATTATAGTGAAGCTCCTAGAAAACAGGTTTGGTTTTCGTAAGATTTGTATCCAAACATCACAAAGCCAAGAGAGGCAGTTGACTATTCTATGATCATTCTAAAAAGGTCTCTGTAAAACTACAGATAGAGTGGTGGCAAAACCATAATAGGCCATGACGGTTTTAAGTTTTGTAGTTTACTCAGTATGCTTACTCTCACTTCACTTTGTAACCCCAGCTTTTCACCAATTGCTTCTCTCCTGAGAGGGGTTAATAAGTGACCTACAATAATCATATTTACTTGAACAAAGCTCCCTCTTGATTGACCTGATTCTGTTACTTTTGCTGACTCTGTTCATGTTCTGTTGGTAAAGGTCATGTGTAGTAATCGTCTTCTCTTTAGTTATGGCTGTGTGCTATATAGAAAGCTTTCCAAAATAACCTTTCTGTCTTGCAACTGTTCTCTCCCTTAAACAGGATTCATTTACTTTATCAGGAATTTGAATCTTAAAACCATGACCATTTGCCTCACAGAATGCAAACAAAGAAGGCTTCAACTGATCTTTCTGTGAGAATAAATATTGTTAGCCTTAAGTATGTAATCCCTTCTTCTCCTAGCCCAGAAAAAGGAGATGAGCCTAATAACTGTCCTTCCTATGGCATTCTTTCTGTAATACACAGGAAGAAAGGAATCTGAAGTGAAGAGGACAGTAGGGAAGGGGATAAAAGAAATTACGTGTGGAATTCTTCCTACATAACTCTCACCTGACATGCCCCTAGCATTACGTGTGGAATTCTTCCTACATAACTCTCACCTGACATGCCCCTAGTTTGTTGCTAGTTTCTGTTTACACACTTGAAAGGTGTAAAAATGTGGTAGGCCAGCATTCCTTCCTAGGAGAACTGGGGTGATGACAGATCGCCGAAGTCAGAATCACTTGATGTCTTGGCATATGCAGTAACGACTACCAGTCTTAAGCCCAGTAAATCTACTATCTAAATGGCTGTGACCTTAGTTTGTAAAAATGGAGACCATAGTACACTGGAAAAGGGTTGATAAAAGAAATTTGTTCTCAAACTCTTTATTCATTCGTTATTTGCTCTATTAGTTTCCTGAGGCTGCCATAACAAATTACCATAGACCAGGTGGCTTAAAACAACAGAAATTTATTCTCTCACGGTTGTGGAGGCCAGAAATCCAAAAGCAAGATATCAGCAGGGCTGTGCTCCCACCGTAGGCTCTAGGGAAGAATCCTTTCTTGCTTCTTCCAGCTTCTGGTGGCTAACAACTTCCCTTGTGGCTACATCACTCCTTTAGGGCCCACATGGATAATCCAAGATAATCTCCTTCTAAGATCCTTAATTTAATGATATTTGCAAAGACCCTTTTCTCCAAATAAGATCACATTCACAGTTTCTGAGGATTAGGGCATAGACATCTTTTGATGAGCCACCATTCAACCTATATGGGGAAAAAAAAACAACTCTGCACTCTTTCTCAGTCATCATTATATCCAGTGGCTATTATGTTCTATACTCTTTCCAAGAGAGACGCATAATCTCTATAATATTTAAATTGAATTTTGCAACATTTTGCTACCACTTTAAGTGATACTACTCTATTCTCTAAGTCACATGTCTTTATTTATTCTAATAATATAACCTTTTTTATTCATAGGGTCACATGGGTATACCAGGACCAAGAGGTGCCACTGGACAACAAGGGCCCCCAGTATGTTTTGAAAGCATTCTTTGTAATTCTGGCATTTAAAAACATTAATGTTAACATATCTTATTTGGTGTCTGCTTTATATGTGATTTCTGTTTTGGCTCCTATTAAAGGGTGAGCCAGGTGACCGGGGTGAACAAGGACTAAAAGGAGAGAGAGGATCTGAAGTAAGTTGAAATCATTTAAGACAATTTGTAACTTATTGCTGGCTTGAGAAAACAGGGGCACAAGGAGTTGCTGTTCATTGTAACTTGAATGATCATTCATTCTTTCAGAGCAAGAATCACCACAGGCCTCTAAACAGGGTGTTTGTCAATAATTGTGCTAAAACATCATTATTGATTAATTCGTGCGTTTCGACTGCCATCCAAAGTTCCCTTCACCAGCAGACTACTCTGGCTTTGAGAAAATTGCCTAGAGTTGTCCCAGACTAATTGTCCTTCCTTAGGGTTTCAGGCAGAAATATCAACTAGCCTTAAAACCAGCACTGCAGAGCAAAATTTTAGCAGTCATACCTATTTAGTTGCTGTAGTAAGGTAGGGGTAGAAATAGTTTAACTATATGACACAGACTCACAATCGGTTTAAAAGATTTGTTTTCCATAACACAAGTCAATTATTTGTTATCAGGCGAACTAAAAATCTGTTGAGTTATTGAATTTAGCCACCTCTTTCCCTATATACCAATAAACGTTGCCTCAATCTTATGTAACAACTGGATTTGTAATTTGTACCATCACTTCATTGCTGCCCTACTTTTCATGGCATTCTGACTTTACCTGCTACTGATTTAAAATTAAATTCTTTAGAAAACGTACGGTATTTTAATAATAAATTAGGTGAGGATTGATAAAAAGTAATGAATTTGAGACCATGTTTCTCCTAATTTGTTAAGCGGCCTTCACCCATACTTGTGTTTCCCATTTGTGGGAGTTAGTAATAAAATTGAGTTGAGTCGGATATTACATAGGTTTTCATTCACACAAAAGCCATTTTAAATAGTCTTGGCAACTACCTAGTAACTTACTGTCAGGCTCCTTAATAAATAAGGACTAATAAATAATAAATAAAAATATCCCATTGGGACTTACCTGGTGGCACAGTGGTTAAAAATCCACCTGCCAATGCAGGGGACAGGGGTTCGAGCCCTGTTCCGGGAGCAACTAAGCCTGTGAGCCACAACTACTGAGCCCGTGTGCCACAACTACTGAAGCCCGTGTGCCCTAGAGCCTGTGCTCCACAAGAGAAGCCACCGCAGTGAGAAGCCCGCACACTGCTACGAAGAGTAACCCCAGCTCTCCACAACTAGAGAAAGCCTGTGCACAGCAACAAAGACCCAATGCAGCCAAAAATAAATAAATAAATGTATTTTTAAAAAAAAATCCCATTGAAGGCAAGCCTTAATTTTAAAAAGAAATTCAAAGAAAGAATACAGTTGTCCCATTCGCTTAGAATTTTTAATACCCAAATTGGAAAAAGTAGTGGAAAAAACCATGAACCTAGAACACTACTACTACTTTCATGTGACTTCCTTATACTTGCATTAAGTGCCTAAGGATGCAAATGCTCTCCCAAGGTTTGATCCTAAAATTTCTAATCCTTTACAATTAGTACTTTCATATTCTCAATGTTTTCTTTTTCCTTTTTTGATGTATCTCAGGAAGAAGAAATTTTTTTTATGTTTCTTAGTATCTGTTAAAATTATGCCAACGAAAATAAAATATTCTTACTAGACAACTGCAGCTCCAGCCTATATGGTCAGCTCTCCCTGGGTATTGGAGCTGAAAGGTCTTGAGGAGCCATGGTTTAAATTCTGTATAATCCACGAGAATTAGTTCTTTTCCCACTCTGGGCAATGCTGGTATACAGTCCGAGGTTACATTAAAAAGCCTCTTTGAATTTCAGATAGTAATGATTGCTACAAGAAAAATCACTGACTATGTGTTACTCACTAGGGACACTTTGAATGGCCAGGTGGATCCTACGGAATTGCCCTCATCTTGTTTTTGCAAAGCTTTAAATTTGTTTTTTAGATTTGGAAATGCCCTTTAAAATCGTTTGGACAACCCTCTCATTTTTCAGACGAAGAAATTTAGGTCCCAGAGGGATTATGAGTTACCTAAGATCACAGAACTAGTTAGCAACAGAACCAACACTAGAAACTTTATTTCCTGACTCCCATTATACAAAAGCCTTCTATTACTTTGAAGTCTTTTATAAATTAAGTTAAATATTAATTTTACTTAACCAACTAATTCATTAATTGGTCTTTCAGACATGAAACTATGGAAACTCTAAAGAAAAAGTTGGAGCAAGTCAAGTTAAAACCAATTGCAAACCACTACATTTTTTTAGAGACTTTTATAATGCAAATGTAGTGAACTGTCCCATAATGGCTTTCAAATACAGAGACTCAAGCCAAAATCTTACTTTCCTCCCAAAGCAAAATTCCAGATTTTAGTGAATTTAATTTCTTGGTTTAAAAAAAAAAAAAAGACTTAACTCTCTAAATCTGTGTTTGTACTTTAAAGCTACCCTCTCTAACAAAGTTAGAACTAACAAAGTATTGTGATGACTGTCCTTCAGCTTCATTTGAATAAAAAACAAATGAGTGTTTGGACTATAATGGCATTTAAAATTTTCTGTTATCTAAAGAATTAGATTACCTTCTCTTGTAGTCTATGAAGTGGTACAATCCCAATGAATGGAATTCGTTGTTTTAAATGGATCTGATTTCAAGTGGGCTGTTCTATTTTTCAAAGCTAGCCAGACAAAAGAGAAAGCACAATTTTACATATACTCTAAAGAATAAATATGAAATTCATTCGCCTTTCCTATTATGAGAACAGGAAGTCTGTTGACTTATGAGGTACTTATATTTACATAAAATAGTATGAGTAAGTTAATTTTGAAAATAGCATAGAATGCTTCTAGCTTTATTATATTTGAACTCTGGGCATTGGTGGAAGAGTGATTTTTTTTTTTTTCCTTTTTATGATACCAACTCAATTAATCATCTACAAACACCTTAGACGACAACATACTTTCTTTGTCTTTGGCCCAATCTTTAATTTCCTACTGAACAGACCATCTCTGTGTAGGATTAATATTGAGTAATGTTTGGCTCTTAATTTAGTTACAACACTACCCAGCAATTCCAACTGCAAGATTTTTTTAAATGCACAAATTCAAAAAAATACCAATCTTCTACACTTTGTTGATCTTTATGTATTTTAAACCTCCATTGCAAGTCTGTCGTTTCTCTAACTAGCCTACTTCCTTTTAGTTACGGTGACAATAATTGTCATAAGGAAATCTTTCCTGAATTGACATCTAAAAACAGCAGAGACTGTTTTGTTATTTACTCTATGCTTTTTGTATTTAATAAGGAGATTTTGTCACAGTTGTACCATTACAAGTAGCAAAATATACATTAAAAATAATTTTCATAGTCATAATTTTCCTTTAGTGTTATTCTGTTGGAAGCTGCTTCCTGATGCCCATCCGAGTATTAATAACATTCTAGTTTTCACAATGATAGACCCATGTATCTAGGTTTTAGAGCAGTATTTAACTGTTCTGAAATAATCCCAACATAATGGTCACCCTAAAATGTAACTGATTTGTGATATGAGACTCTTTTTGTTTTTATTTTGTATTTGAATGTTTGGAATAAAACATGCACATACGTGTATAGCATATCTGAACCTTAAGCCATAAACTCAAGTATACAAAAAGTATAATTTTGTTTATGTTCTTTGTAATGGAACTTAACTTCTGTCCTGAGTACCCATCCTGCCTGGTGGTAGAAACCTAATTGATGGAAATCTAGTCAATTGATTGCCTTTAACTCCGTCCACTCAAATATCCTGCATTTGATTTAGAGTTTTTCCCATTTATCCTCTTTTCAAGTCTGCTGTTACATTCTGGGTGGCAATGTTAGGGAAGGGGAATAGGAAGTGAGATTGATCTTTAGCCATCATCTGTTCATACTAGCATCCACTGAAATGTACATCATCCCTTTTGGCCCCCATCTGCCATTATCCCACCATGTTGTCATCTACCTTGGCCCTCCGGACAAAAGTTCTTTGATCCCTGTTGGCTTGTACAGCTATTTTCTCAACTCAGGTGAAAGATCTCCTTAGATAAGACTCTAAGGGCCATATGCTTCTGTTCTTGGCCACATGGAAATAACATTCTACTGCTCCCCATACCATGCCGGGTGCTTGAGGGACTCAGACTTCCTCAGGTCCCCTGGCCTAGACATCTCATGCAGAAATTTCAACTCTATTGCTGCACTCAGTGCAACTTAGCGTTCATCTCAGTGAGGCCTTTAGTCTCTCTAGCCATCATCTCTGTGCCCAAATCCCCACACTTATCTGCAGATATTATTGTTTTGTTTTGTTTAGTTTATTAAGTTTTATTCAAATATAGTTGCTTTAAAATGTTGTGTTAGTTTCTTGCTGTACCACAAAGTGAATCAGGCATACGTATAAATATATCCACTCTTTTTTAGACTCACTTCCCATTTAGGTCACCACAGAGCATTGAGTAGAGTTCCCTGTGCTATACAGTAGGTTCTCATTAGTTATCTATTTTATACATAGTAGTGTATATAAGTCAGTCCCAACCTCCCAATTCATCCCAACCCCCCTCCTTCCGCCCTTGGTAACCGTAAGTTTGTTCTCTACATCTGTGACTCTATTTCTGCTTTGCAGATAAGCTCATCTCTACCATTTTTCTAGACTCCACATATAAGCAATATTATATGATACTTGTTTTTCTCTTTCTGACTTACTTCACTCTGTATGACAGTCTCTAGGTCCATCCATGTCTCTGCAGATGTCACTATTTTGTTCCTTTTTATGGCGGAGTAATATTCCATTGTATATATGTACCGTTTCTTCTTTATACATTCCTCTGTCGATGGACATTTAGGTTGCTACCATGTCCTGGCTATTGTAACTAGTGCTGCAATGAACATCATGGTGCATGCATCCTTTCGAATTACGGTTTTCTCCAGATATATGCCTAGGAGTGGGATTGCTGGGTCATATGGTAGCTCTATTTTTAGTTTTTTAAGGAACCTCCAAACTGTTCTCCATAGTGGCTGTACCAATTTACATTCCCACCAACAGTGTAGGAGCGTTCCCTTTTTTCCACACCCTCTCCAGCATTTATTGTTTGTAGAATTTTTGATGATGGCCATTCTGACTAGTATGAGGTTATACCTCATTGTAGTTTTGGTTTGCATTTCTCTAATAATTAGTGATGTTGAGCATCTTTTCATGTGTTTGTTAGCCATTTGTATGTCTTCTTTGGAGGAATGTCTGTTTAGGCCTTCCACCCATTTTTTGATTGGGTGGGTTGTTTTTTTAATATTGAGCTGTATGAGCTGCTTATATATTTCGGAGATTAATCCCTTGTCAGTTGCTTTGTTTGCAAATATTTTCTCCCATTCTGAGGGTTGTCTTTTCATTTTATTTATGGTTTCCTTTGCTGTACAAAAGGTTTTAAGTTTAATTAGGTCCCATTTGTTTATTTTTGTTTTCTTTTTCATTACTTTAGGCAGTGGATTGAAAAAGATCTTGCTGTGATTTATGTCACAGTGTTCTGTCTATATTTTCCTCTAAGAGTTTTATAGTATCTGGCCTTACATTTAGGTCTTTAATCCATTTTGGGTTTATTTTGTATATGGTGTTAGGGAGTGTTCTAATTTCATTCTTTTACATGTGGCTGTCCAATTTTCTCAGCACCACTTATTGAACAGACTGTCTTTTCTCCATTGTATATTCTTGCCTCCTTTGTCATAGATTAGGTAGCCATAGGTGCTTGGGTTTATCTCTGGACTTTCTATCCTGTTCCATTGATCTATATTTCTGTTTTTGTGCCAGTACCATACTGTTTTGATTACTGTAGCTTTGTAGTATAGTCCGAAGTCAGGGAGTCTGATTCCTCCAGCTCTGTTCTTCTTTCTCAAGATGGCTTTCATTATTCGGGGTCTTTTGTGTTTCCATACAAAGTGTAAAATTTTTTGTTCTAGTTCTGTGAAAAATGCCATTGGTAATTTGATAGGGATTGCATTGAATCTGTAGATTATTTTGGGTGTATAGTCATTTTCCCAGTATTGATTCTTGCAATCCAAGAACATGGTATATCTCTCCATCTGTTTGTGTCATCTTTGATTTTTTTTCATCAGTATCATATACTTTTCTCAGTACAGGTCTTTTGCCTCCTTAGGTAGGTTTATCCCTAGGTATTTTATTCTTTTTGATGTGATGGTAAATGGGATTATTTCCTTAGTCTCTCTTTCTGATCTTTCATTGTTAGTGTATAGGAATGCAAGAGATTTCTGTGTATTAATTTTGTATCCTCTGCAGGTATTACTGTTTCTACCCACCCCAGGACTTGACGGCAGATTGGTGTCAAGGTCTCTTCTCATAGATACCCATCAGTGTCTTAACAGTTTTCCTTCTCTTTTTACCTTTATCCAACTTGAAGATTTTTTATATCCCCTTAGGTAGGAAAAACTTTCTCTTACATTATTATAATTCTTCTAAATATGTTCTTTATGATATAAATTTTATGACTTGAATCCTTTATTACCTTGTTTTTTTATGTGCAATGATAGACTTTTAATATTTAAAAATCAAGCTTTTGTATTTAAAAATATATTCTTTTCAAACTATTCCCCCACCATGCGTTTCAGAGGACTGTTTTGAAATTCTTAAGCTAAAAAAGTCTATTTTGAAAATCAAAAGTTTAGAACAAATCTATTGCTTTACATAAAAAGAAATACTGTGAAGGAAAACACACGCCAGTTAACATATTTGAATATTATCACAATTCATGTACTGTTTAATTAGTGCTATTCAAGACAACTGAAATCAGAATTGTTTTCAATATTTAAAACAGTCTTTATTTGTCTATTTTACTTCTTTATTGTATTCTAAAAGATACATCTATTATAGGAATCATATGTTCCAGAAATTGTATTTACTTCAACTAAACCCAGTTCACCAACTATCCCCTTTTCTGGTTTCCTTACCCTTAGGAAGAATTTACATTGGTGACTTTTTAAAGCAAGTAAAAGAGCTTTTGAACTTGGAGGTAGAACCCTTGATGCATATAGCTCCCTATCATCGAATTCTAACAAAATTGGATGTTTATCTCTTACAGAAAATGCCCTTTTTCTCTCTGATTATATACGCTATTTCTTCTTAAAACATTTAAGCTCATTTTCAGAAGATGTAACATCTTCTGAAATTGTTTATTTTGTCATTGTTGTCAAATTGAATCTTTAGTACAACTGTGTTCAGATTTGAATAACTTAACATCTCATTTTGGTGGAATTATCCTGTTTCTGAGAACTTTTGATGATTTCTGAGAAATGTTTCTGGTAATGGCAATATGCTTCTTTTTCTTATTCGTGAACTCTTTAACACCTTTTTCTTCTTAAAATAATTTTAGGATATCATCAGAATAATGGCATGATTTGCAAGGGCAAATTTCTAACTATCCTGGTAGACCGTTACTGCTGAATCAATTATGATTTAAAATATCTCACACAACTGTGTTCAGATTTGAATAACTTAACATCTCATTTTGGTGGAATTATCCTGTTTCTGAGAACTTTTGATGATTTCTGAGAAATGTTTCTGGTAATGGCAATATGCTTCTTTTTCTTATTCGTGAACTCTTTAACACCTTTTTCTTCTTAAAATAATTTTAGGATATCATCAGAATAATGGCATGATTTGCAAGGGCAAATTTCTAACTATCCTGGTAGACCATTACTGCTGAATCAATTATGATTTAAAATATCTCACACATGGAAAAACAAGCAATTATGTGGGAAATAAAGATCTTTTCTTTGATTTACACGTATGTTCTTCTCTGTGCTTCCAGGTAAGCACATTTTAGGTTATTGATTTATGTCCCTCACTACACTGTAAGTGCCTTGTGAACAAGAGCTTTGATTTTGCATCTCCAGCACATAACAGAATTCCTGATACCTAATAGTCAAGAAATGTTTACTGAATTAATTAAATAAGTACTTAACCACTTTCAGTAGGGAGACAAAGGCCTTGCCTGAAGTGGGGACTTTTATTTAAATAATCTATTCAGTTCCTTTTTAGAACTATAATTTAAATTCTTAAATCATAGAATTTGGAGCCAGGTAGAAATTCATAGATTATATAGTCAAATTCTTTCATTTACAGATGAAGAAAATGACTCTCAGGAAAGTGAAATGGCAATCCCAATGATAAACAGCTAGTTAGTGGCAGGACTTGCTGTAGCCTTCAGGTCTCAGAGTTCTTTTCTATGCCTTCAGTTTAATTAAATTTATAGCAATGAGTTGACAACTGTGCTTCACATTTTTAGGGTCCTAAGGGGAAAAAAAGAGCTCCTGGCCCTTCTGGGAAACCTGGGATTCCTGTAAGTAACAGGCCTTTTTCATCTTTATTGTTTTTCTAAATAGAACTTTAGCAAGCAGAAAAGTTTGGGGCCAATTATGACGTGTTGGATAAATCAGATTGTCTTCAAAAAAATGTTTAAACCCATGCCGGAACACAGAGGGAACAAAATATGACTACTAGTTCAAAACCAAGCTTGGTGTTGAAACGGAAGTCACTGCAACTGAAGGTTGTTATTTTCCAGTGCAGGGAGATCTCTCTGTGGATTCGTGCTACTATTCTTTGATGGTGAACCACTAAAAAACAGGCAACTTGCAGTCATGACTAAATGAATGGTGACAGAGGTCAGAGATTTTCAAGCATAATTGAAAAGACATGAGCTGGATTTTAATTGAAGAACTCGGCCTCTCATTTTCCTGGGAAATAGAACAGAAAGTCTTAGAAAAAAGCTTTAAATCTTTTCATCACAGAACAAAGATTAATTTTACCTTAGCCATCCGTTTCCTCTTTGGCCAAGCAAATATGTGTAGACTAGCTTATTAGCAAAGACTTCCTGCTGGTCTCCCCTAGCCAACAGCCTGCTTTGGGTGGCCTGTGTTGTGTTGGTTCAAAAAAAGTAAGGAAAAGTGAACATAAATTATGAGCACATTGAGATCAGAGATTCCCTACAGATTAAATCCAGTTGCCCAAGAGTACAACCAAAATGTTCAGACCTTTCCTCAGTCATATAATTATCTAATTCAAAGTGGCAACTAAAAGAGCCGTAATTTATTTCTTGGGAAAATAATACAATACAGAGTTTTAGAGATGGTGAATGTCAGCCTATATCCTAAACTGACAGGTGCACATAGCTGATCTTTTCTCCACAGCTGGATAGAGCATGGGCTGGTACAATGAGAAATACCAGGAAATTACAGTAAAGTGGAAAAGGTTACACAATAAATTGCTGATTAGCTTGGCATTTCAGTTTAGGGAACAGTTACCTGATCTGTTGTATCCAAATAGTAAATTATTAAGGAATCCAGGAAACAGGAAAAATTTTCCTGGGACAGGGTTTTAAGAATGTAACCTCCCACCCCCCAATAAGTATAAAAGTGTTTGTCATTTAAACATCTGTACAGCATCTCTCTATAATCCAAGTAATTTTTAATTACCAAGGGACTTCCAGGCCTACCTGGGCCAAAAGGCATGCAAGGATACCCTGGAGCAGAAGGCATTTCAGGAAACCCTGGTAAAGTTGGGCTACCAGGAAAACAGGGACTTCCTGTGAGTAGATTGAATATTCTTTGCTCTTTATTTCTTATGCATAAGTATCTCTTTACTAAAACCATAGATACTTTGGCTGTCTTTCTTAACTTTGACATTGGTTCATATTGTGTTTATGATTTACAGGGAATGTCAGTGAGTACATGTTTGATGTTTTATAATAAATAACCCATATTATTAATAATTTATATTATTTTTACACATATAAAAGCTGGTACATAGGAACAATAAAGAAGTAAAATTTTAAGGGGGCTTCCCTGGTGGCGCAGTGGTGGAGAGTCTGCCTGCCGATGCAGGGGACACGGGTTCATGCCCTGGTCCGGGAAGATCCCACATGCCACAGAGCGGCTGGGCCTGTGAGCCATGGCCGCTGAGCCTGCGCGTCCGGAGCCTGTGCTCTGCAACGGGAGAGGCCACAACAGTGAGAGGCCCGCGTACCGCAAAAAAAAAAAAAAAAGAAAAAAAAAAAAAACTTTAAGGGCTACACAACCTGTGTTTTGAGTTCATCAAATGTCTTAAGCCACCTTTGGAACATTTCAGGCTTGGCAATAACTCAAGGTAAGTTCTGCCAAAATCATTTTCCCTTTACTTTTATAGCCTCACTATTTTACAGAAATTGTGTGAACATTTTCTCTGTGTTCATCTAGTGGTGATGCAATGCGCAGTGATGTAGATTATTATTTTTATGCAGATTTCTATATTATTTATTTGATCAGAAATTTTAAAATGACATTTTTGTCTTCATTTAGCCATTTTCCCTCTTTCCTTCCTAAGTTCATCATAATCCAGATATTTTTTGTTATCTCATGTTGTGTTTCCATTTGAAATACAAGAATAATTAATCGCATATTTCAGTAATCCAGTAAAATTTATCCTTTTACATTTCCACTATTTTTGGATATGATTATCTATTGACCTGTTTTTCTTTTCTTAAATGAATCAATCCTAGTTGTTTACTCACATGTAGCATGGGACTGTAGCAAAGCTCAAGCCCAAATTAATATTATTCTTTCACTATGATGAATTATCTCATTTGTTTAAAAATAAGTATCAAATTATGACCCAGCCAATTTAATTATTTCAGAAATAAGTATCTGGCCATATTCTATTTGGAAAGGTGAATATTTTTAAGGAGGCTTAGTATGGTTTCTATTTGCTTTGGGGACAGTATATCTGAACATCAGAGCATCAGGGTGTAAGCCCTAGAGAAATTTGACAGCCAGGCTGATATTTTGATTAAAATATATGTTTTCGAAACTTCTGCCATTAACATCAGTCTGGTTAAAAGAGGACTTCCATTTGAGATCCCAGTCTTAAAGGGAGCTCACGCCCTGAACCTTCATGTATGATGCTGCACTCTAGGCTCACCATATAAGAGTCTTAAAATGAGGTTGTGGAGTTTTAAAAATACAACAGTAAAACACTTTGAATTGGTCTGAGAGTCTGTACTTGAGTTTTACTGGGAAATGTTAGAGTGAATCTTACTGCTTTGAATAAGATTTTGAGAGCTGAAACAAGGAAAACCACATTTCAAAATATGTCATATTTCTTGCTGTGAACACAGGTTTAGTCATGGAGGTGGTATGTATGTGGATGTGTCCAGTAGTCGATAAGGCTAGAAACTGAATTGTAAATACTAATAACAGCAAATAGATTTGTTTAATTACTGGGAAGAGGGATTCATTTGTTTTCTGACTAAAATAATACTAATCCAGGTACTTATTCCAGATATGGATAATACAAATCAGGATCCTATATATATACATGTTTAATAAGAATTTCAGACATTTAGCATATAAGATATTCATCAGACACTAGTGACAGGTCAAAGTCATCCACGTTTTTTACACCAAGTCACTTAATACTTCATTGTGGCAAACAACTTCTTTCTGGCAGTATGTGACACCTGAAGGTCTTCCTGGAAAGGACTGAAAATTGGAAAATAAAAGGAAAACCAAGCAATTATGTGGGAAATAAAGATCTTTTCTTTGATTTACACGTATGTTCTTCTCTGTGCTTCCAGGTAAGCACATTTTAGGTTATTGATTTATGTCCCTCACTACACTGTAAGTGCCTTGTGAACAAGAGCTTTGATTTTGCATCTCCAGCACATAACAGAATTCCTGATACCTAATAGTCAAGAAATGTTTACTGAATTAATTAAATAAGTACTTAACCACTTTCAGTAGGGAGACAAAGGCCTTGCCTGAAGTGGGGACTTTTATTTAAATAATCTATTCAGTTCCTTTTTAGGACTATAATTTAAATTCTTAAATCATAGAATTTGGAGCCAGGTAGAAATTCATAGATTATATAGTCAAATTCTTTCATTTACAGATGAAGAAAATGACTCTCAGGAAAGTGAAATGGCAATCCCAATGATAAACAGCTAGTTAGTGGCAGGACTTGCTGTAGCCTTCAGGTCTCAGAGTTCTTTTCTATGCCTTCAGTTTAATTAAATTTATAGCAATGAGTTGACAACTGTGCTTCACATTTTTAGGGTCCTAAGGGGAAAAAAAGAGCTCCTGGCCCTTCTGGGAAACCTGGGATTCCTGTAAGTAACAGGCCTTTTTCATCTTTATTGTTTTTCTAAATAGAACTTTAGCAAGCAGAAAAGTTTGGGGCCAATTATGACGTGTTGGATAAATCAGATTGTCTTCAAAAAAATGTTTAAACCCATGCCGGAACACAGAGGGAACAAAATATGACTACTAGTTCAAAACCAAGCTTGGTGTTGAAACGGAAGTCACTGCAACTGAAGGTTGTTATTTTCCAGTGCAGGGAGATCTCTCTGTGGATTCGTGCTACTATTCTTTGATGGTGAACCACTAAAAAACAGGCAACTTGCAGTCATGACTAAATGAATGGTGACAGAGGTCAGAGATTTTCAAGCATAATTGAAAAGACATGAGCTGGATTTTAATTGAAGAACTCGGCCTCTCATTTTCCTGGGAAATAGAACAGAAAGTCTTAGAAAAAAGCTTTAAATCTTTTCATCACAGAACAAAGATTAATTTTACCTTAGCCATCCGTTTCCTCTTTGGCCAAGCAAATATGTGTAGACTAGCTTATTAGCAAAGACTTCCTGCTGGTCTCCCCTAGCCAACAGCCTGCTTTGGGTGGCCTGTGTTGTGTTGGTTCAAAAAAAGTAAGGAAAAGTGAACATAAATTATGAGCACATTGAGATCAGAGATTCCCTACAGATTAAATCCAGTTGCCCAAGAGTACAACCAAAATGTTCAGACCTTTCCTCAGTCATATAATTATCTAATTCAAAGTGGCAACTAAAAGAGCCGTAATTTATTTCTTGGGAAAATAATACAATACAGAGTTTTAGAGATGGTGAATGTCAGCCTATATCCTAAACTGACAGGTGCACATAGCTGATCTTTTCTCCACAGCTGGATAGAGCATGGGCTGGTACAATGAGAAATACCAGGAAATTACAGTAAAGTGGAAAAGGTTACACAATAAATTGCTGATTAGCTTGGCATTTCAGTTTAGGGAACAGTTACCTGATCTGTTGTATCCAAATAGTAAATTATTAAGGAATCCAGGAAACAGGAAAAATTTTCCTGGGACAGGGTTTTAAGAATGTAACCTCCCACCCCCCAATAAGTATAAAAGTGTTTGTCATTTAAACATCTGTACAGCATCTCTCTATAATCCAAGTAATTTTTAATTACCAAGGGACTTCCAGGCCTACCTGGGCCAAAAGGCATGCAAGGATACCCTGGAGCAGAAGGCATTTCAGGAAACCCTGGTAAAGTTGGGCTACCAGGAAAACAGGGACTTCCTGTGAGTAGATTGAATATTCTTTGCTCTTTATTTCTTATGCATAAGTATCTCTTTACTAAAACCATAGATACTTTGGCTGTCTTTCTTAACTTTGACATTGGTTCATATTGTGTTTATGATTTACAGGGAATGTCAGTGAGTACATGTTTGATGTTTTATAATAAATAACCCATATTATTAATAATTTATATTATTTTTACACATATAAAAGCTGGTACATAGGAACAATAAAGAAGTAAAATTTTAAGGGGGCTTCCCTGGTGGCGCAGTGGTGGAGAGTCTGCCTGCCGATGCAGGGGACACGGGTTCATGCCCTGGTCCGGGAAGATCCCACATGCCACAGAGCGGCTGGGCCTGTGAGCCATGGCCGCTGAGCCTGCGCGTCCGGAGCCTGTGCTCTGCAACGGGAGAGGCCACAACAGTGAGAGCCCCGCAAAAAAAAAAAAAAAAAAAAAAAAAAAAAAAAAACTTTAAGGGCTACACAACCTGTGTTTTGAGTTCATCAAATGTCTTAAGCCACCTTTGGAACATTTCAGGCTTGGCAATAACTCAAGGTAAGTTCTGCCAAAATCATTTTCCCTTTACTTTTATAGCCTCACTATTTTACAGAAATTGTGTGAACATTTTCTCTGTGTTCATCTAGTGGTGATGCAATGCGCAGTGATGTAGATTATTATTTTTATGCAGATTTCTATATTATTTATTTGATCAGAAATTTTAAAATGACATTTTTGTCTTCATTTAGCCATTTTCCCTCTTTCCTTCCTAAGTTCATCATAATCCAGATATTTTTTGTTATCTCATGTTGTGTTTCCATTTGAAATACAAGAATAATTAATCGCATATTTCAGTAATCCAGTAAAATTTATCCTTTTACATTTCCACTATTTTTGGATATGATTATCTATTGACCTGTTTTTCTTTTCTTAAATGAATCAATCCTAGTTGTTTACTCACATGTAGCATGGGACTGTAGCAAAGCTCAAGCCCAAATTAATATTATTCTTTCACTATGATGAATTATCTCATTTGTTTAAAAATAAGTATCAAATTATGACCCAGCCAATTTAATTATTTCAGAAATAAGTATCTGGCCATATTCTATTTGGAAAGGTGAATATTTTTAAGGAGGCTTAGTATGGTTTCTATTTGCTTTGGGGACAGTATATCTGAACATCAGAGCATCAGGGTGTAAGCCCTAG